TTCCAAATAGGTCTTATCATCCAGGGTCGACCGCAGTTTCGACCTCGTCTAGGCCTTATCAACACCCCGGCGGGACTTGAATTATGACATTGCAGCGTATAATCTCTTCACATTAACTACTACTTCACATTGCCACGAGTGCCATTGGTCCATAGGGCAGATATGAATTTGAAGGAAGGCCAGGCACTTTCCTATATAAAATTCGGTGGGATTGTCGTTGCAAAGCTATAGTTGCTATAAAAATCTACTATACTACTTATTTTTAGTTTCGTAACTGGGGTTTCAAGACTATCAGTAAGTTATATATATATATATATGAGATTTCGAGGTCGAAACTGCAGTCCACCCTGGATAGCAATACCTTTTTGGAAGTACGGCTACGCCAAATTCTACGAAAACGTAAGGTCTAATCATATCATTTTGGGAAAATTCAACTCCCAATCCTTCATCACTTTAAACGAAATAGGGGAATATATCTCATATATATGATTTACTGGTAGTCTCGGAACCCTACTTACAAATAAAAAATAGAATTAAATAACTTTTCATCATTATTAATGGTTTGTATTCGCATTTTTGTCAACAACTCTTATAGAATTTGAATTTTGATGCCGTATTTATTCTTATATCTTTATAAATTATAAGCACGTCTGCATGTAAAGTAAATCTTATATACAATAAGATCTTGCTAATGGCTGTACATCGATTCAACTTTTTGAGAAGCAAATTTATGCGTAAATTTATTTGATATACTGTCTCTAATCTTTTCATTTCTTCTTTTCAGGAAATCTGCACTTGACTCGGCCTCTGGACTACGAACTCTCTACATCTCATCACTTTTTGATCGAGGCTATGATTACTGAAAACGACATTCCTCTTCTTTTATATATTAGCTTGCTGGTGTATGTGGATGATGTGAATGAACACGCACCTCAATTTCTTGGCATGCCAACAGCGAGTTTCTCACAAAGTTCGCTGCAATATTTTGGCTCCGAAGAATCCGATATAATTGGTGGCGAGGCCAGTGTCCCATTTATATTCATTGCACTTCCATCATATTCTTCTGAAACACTGCTTGGACGAGTGACTGCCTTCGACCTCGACTCTAATGAAAACGGTCGTATCTCCTACAGGATAATTGGAGGTCCTAAAATTATATTTATTCATTATTTATTAACTTATAGGAAAAAAAGCTAGTTTACATTTATAGTAAGCATTCTTCAAGACTGTCATTAAGTCTTGATTCATATTTTTTGTCATCCTAGCTCGCACAAGCTTCTGAACAGCTGATAGTTGAATTTTCTCAGAATGAGATGCGTAAATCTCACGATTCCATTTAATTTCACTTAGCTTTCTCTTCCAAAATATATTTTCATCCAGGATTTATCTGCAACTTCAACTTTTCTCGGTCCTTAGCACACCTAACGAATATATAAACTGGGTGGTGCAGCGTATAATATAGACTTTATCATTACGCAACACTGACACTAGTAGCTGTTGGTCACAGGGCAGACTTGAATTATAAGGAAGGCCAAGCTTTCCATATCACACTTATAATTAAACTTTGGATGAAGCAAACTTATATTTTTACATTGTTTAATCCTATCTTTCCTTTCTTATTATATGTCTATACCACATACTAAGTAGGTTAGTTTCCAAACTATCAATATATGTCGTTTAAATTGATGTAGAGACTAGTAATGAAATTAATTATACTATTGGTCATTTTGTGAATTTTAGCGGTATAGGGTGACCATATTTCTTCTGTTAATTCTTCGTTTTGCTGGTTCTTCGCTTGATTTATTTTTTTGTTTCATAACTCTGACTTGGCCATGGGCTACTCAAACTAGATGGCTATATCTTTGCAAAGTCAAAATGAAAGTATTATTGTGGGAAATAAACTTATAAAACCTACTCCATAGTATGTAGGCGAACTGAGTTTTAAAGAATTCCTTAATAGGTAGTAGATATTAAGGCCAAGATTGTGTGGCCTTTAGCTTTATAGTATTGGTACGACCTTGTTTTCGCAACTTGGTCGGAGCGTCAGGGAGACCTTGTGGAACGTGCCTAGTTTCGTGTTCATTGCCATAGTATTCGTGGCTTCCAGCATTTGACTATTGGCTGGATACATTTCCGAAAATTTAACCGGCATCACCAGCGAGATGCGCCATATTAAACACAGATTACAACTTATCAAAGATTGATGCTGAATTAGCTTTCATTTCGTAGGAGGAGGCTGGTTGAGGTTATGCGTAATTTGGCACCTTCGGAAGCTTAAATTGGATTGCCTTCTAGCTGTGTTTGTAGATTTCTGCCAATAGGTCCTCGGCGAACCGCCTTACGACCCCGATGAATCCTTGCTAAGCTTTCGTCTATCGTGCGATGGACATCGTCAGAGCAAGACAGCACGTTTAACGATATTTTACCAAAACACAAAGGCAAGGTGGCAGGCTGTACATCTAACTACTTCCTATAACGTGAGGTGTAAAAGTCAAAACGACAGTCGATGCTAATCAAGTTATCTTTTCTTGTCTAGCACTACTTCTCTCTCACTCACTTACTCGGATGAACATCCATATCTGGGGAGAGGTTCAGAATATTTTAAAAAAGAACTCATTACTGACAAGCCCTGAATCTAGATTTAGGGTTTTTAGGGGCCACAGTGATTATTTTGTAGGTATCAATACCATCTAGAGCCCAGATA